CGCCGCGCCCTCCTTCCCCCCGCAGCCCGTCAGGCTCGCTCCCGAGCGGGAGTTCATCAAATCCCTGATGGCCATCGGGAAGCGCCTGGCCACGCTGCCCACCAAAGAGCAGAAGACGCAGCGGCTCATCTCCGAGCTGTCGCTGCTCAACCACAAGCTGCCCGCGCGCGCCTGGCTGCCCACGGCCGGCTTCGAGCACCACGTGGTCCGGGTGCCGCACACGCAGGCGGTGGTGCTGAACTCCAAGGACAAGGTGAGCCAGGCAGCGCGGGTTTCTTCTCCAAAACGCCCCGCTCTGCTCTGCCTTCGCCCCGTGAGGCCGAGGGCGGCTCTGTGCTCCCGCCGCCCCGTAACGCCGCTTTGCTTCCCCCAGGCGCCCTATTTAATCTACGTGGAAGTGCTTGAATGTGACAATTTCGACACGGCGAATGTCCCAGCCAGGATCCCTGAGAACCGCATCCGGAGCACGCGGTCCGCCGAGAACCTCCCCGAGTGCGGGATCACGGCCGAGCAGAGGACCAGCAGCTTCACCACCGTCCCCAACTACGACAACGACGACGAGGCGTGGTCTGTGGACGACATCGTGGAGCTGCAGGTGGAGGTGAGGCCGTGCTGCGGGCAGGGCTCCCGTCCTTCCCATCTGTGTGCCATCCAGAGAGACCCCGCCATGCGGCCAGGAGAACTGCCTGAGGGTCGGCAGAGCCAGTGCAGGGTGTGGGTCACCACGGCCTCTGCTGTGACTGCAGGGTGGAACGGAAGGATGGAGCGCAGCCCTGCTGAAAGGACCTAGGGGTAGTGGCGCAGGTGGCGCAGATTGCCCAGAGAGGTGGCGCCCCACTCCTTGCAGCCCCCTGTGGTCAGGCTGGTGGGCCGTGAGCTCTGATGGAGCTGTGGGCGTCCGTGTTTGTCGCAGGGGAGTTGGATGAAATGCCCTTTCAGGGTCCCTTCCGACCCAAACTGTTCTGTGATTCTGTGACCTTAATGGTCCACAGAACCATGGGATGGTTGGGTTGGAAGAGTCTTTGAAGGTCAGCCTCAGAGCCATACAAGTAGTTTGGGTCAAAGGGACCTTGTCCATGCTCATCATGAGGGTGGGGCCAGACGGCCTTTAAGGGCCCCTTCCATCCCAAAGCACTCTGTGGCTCTGTGGGTTGCTGTCCCGAGGTCACACAGGCACTAACAGCAGCCCCCTCCCCTCCCAGCTGCCAGAAATCCACACCAACAGCTGTGACAACATCTCCCAGTTCTCTGTGGACAGCATCACCAGCCAGGAGAGCCGCGAGCCGGTGTTCATCGCTGCCGGGGACATCAGGTGAGGTCCCAGCGTGGGACCCCTCCAAAGCCCTTTGAGCCTTTGAGGGGCTGTGGGGGTCGCATGAAGGCGCTGTGCTGCTGACCCCCACCCCGCTCTGTCCCGCAGGCGGCGGCTCTCGGAGCAGCTGGCTCACACCCCCACCTCCTTCAGGAGGGACCCCGAGGACCCATCCGCTGTCGCCCTCAAGGAGCCGTGGCAGGAGAAAGTCAGGTAGGGTGGGGGTCTGCGTGGGGGGGGGCACGTGGTGATGTGAGATCGATCCTCCTGAGCCTGCAGCCGACTCCAGACCTGGTGCGTGGGAGCAGAAGAGCAGGAGGGAGAAAATCCCTCTGATTTGCTGTCCTTGGGCAGAGCTCGGAGGGGCTTTGCGGGTATTTATAGGCTCCTGCTGTGTCAGGGCGTTTTGGCCCAGCCCCAAAATAAATCCTTTGTGTTCCTGGCCTTGGAATCGTATGTCCAGTCTCCACTGCACAGATGTGGGCGTTTTCTGGGGGGATTCAGGAGCTCCTTCCTTTCCACTCCTCTCCATGATGCCCTGTGGCACAGGGGAGCTCACCCTGAGGTTGGCTGAGGCTCGTTGGCCATCAGAAGTGGCCCGGAGCTCATTTTGCTGCAGTCCCAGTGGGGTGAAGGCTCTCCTTTCCCCCACACCCCCACCAGAGCACCTCACTGCCCCCTCCCACCCTGACTTCACGTTTCTCCCGCAGGCGGATCAGGGAAGGGTCCCCATATGGACACCTCCCCTCCTGGCGCCTCCTCTCCGTCATCGTGAAGTGTGGAGACGACCTGCGGCAGGAGCTGCTCGCCTTCCAGGTCCTCAAGCAGCTGCAGGTGAGGAGGGATGGATGGGGCCATGGGAGGCCCTCCTTCCCCCCCCGGCTGCAGTGCTGAGGTTTTCCCTCTTTCCTCGCAGTCCATCTGGGAGCAGGAGCGCGTCCCGCTCTGGATCAAGCCATACAAAATCCTCGTCATCTCCGCCGACAGCGGCATGATTGAGCCGGTGGTGAACGCCGTTTCCATCCACCAAATCAAGAAGCAATCCCTGCTGTCGCTGCTGGATTACTTCCTGCAGGAGCACGGCAGCTACAACACCGAGTCCTTCCTGACGGCACAGAGGAACTTTGTGCAGAGCTGCGCCGGCTACTGCCTGGTGTGCTACCTGCTGCAGGTCAAGGACAGGTGGGTCCCGCAGTGAGCAGGGGTGCAGGGACGCCGTGGGGGGCTGAGGCCAACGCCGTGGGGTGACGGTGCTGTCGGTGCCGTACCCTGGGATTCGCTCTGTGCACAGAGGGCGAATTTGGGAGCGGAGGTGGCAGCGCCTGCCCCGCTCTGAGCATGCAGAGTTTCACGGAGCCTTTCCCCTCCCGCTCAGGCACAACGGGAACATCCTGCTGGATGCAGACGGACACATCATCCACATCGACTTCGGGTTCATCCTTTCCAGCTCCCCCAGGAACCTCGGCTTCGAGACGTCTGCCTTCAAACTCACCACGGAGTTCGTGGATGTGAGTGAGCGATGCTCCCAAGGGCTGACAGCTGCAAGTGTAAACCGGCTCCAGATGGAGCTCTGTGCAGCGTGGGTTCACTGGTAGTGGTCAAATGGCACGACCCTGTGGAGACCCCCGTGGTCAAACTGATGGGCTGAGTGCTGATGGAGCTGCGGGATCCCCGTTCACTGCAGGGGATGAGATGACCTTTAATGGTTTCCAGTGCAGACAATCCTGTCGTTCTGTGACCTTGACGATCACCCACAGAACCGCAGGATGGTTGGGCTGCAAAGATCCTGAAAGATCAACCTCAGAACCGTGGAACCATAGGAACGGTTCGGGCTGAAGGGACTTTATCCCTGTCCACCTTGGTGGGGTGGGACCGGGTGGCCTCTAAAGGTCCCTTCCAACCCAAGCCATTCTCGGGCACTGTGAAATTCCCCCATGATCCCAGTGTTCTGTGCCATCGCTCTGCCCCAGCAGCGCTGCTCCCTGCCCTCCGCTCACTGCGTTCTGCCCTGCAGGTGATGGGGGGCCCAGACGGGGACATGTTCAACTACTACAAGATGCTGATGCTGCAGGGGCTGATCGCTGCACGGAAGCACATGGATAAAGTGGTGCAGATCGTGGAGATCATGCAGCAAGGTGAGGGGGGGGGCTGCCCCGGGGCTGTCCTGCTGATCGCCAGCCTCACGGAGCCCAGCCCCGTCCCCACGTCAGTGGCACGGCCCTGCAGGCTGAGCGCAGAGCAGATCCCCCCCTGTGCCCTCAGTGGAGCCCTGCGGGGTTCCCCCCCATCAGCCTCCTGTCGCCCCCAGGCTCGCAGCTCCCCTGCTTCCACGGCTCCAGCACCATCCGCAACCTGAAGGAGCGCTTCCACATGAACATGACGGAGGAGCAGCTGCAGCTGCTGGTGGAGCAGATGGTGGACGGCAGCATGCGCTCCATCACCACCAAACTGTACGACGGCTTCCAGTACCTCACCAACGGCATCATGTGAGCGCAGCCCCCCTGCAGGGACGTGGGACCCCTTCCTGGGGACGGCCCTTCTGCTCTGGGGGTCTTTTTCTTCTGTGTTGAGGGACTCCTAAGAATAAGAACACAAAACGGAGCGGAAAAATCCCTCCTTGTGCAAATGGGAGTGAAAATGGGCACACGGGGCGTGTGGGAGGCGTGGGCTGCACTGTCCCTGTGGGGCTGGGGGGCTGCAGAGGGCTGCAGGGCAGTGGGGAGCGCTCCCAAAAAACACTGATGGGGTCGGGGGGGTGAATGGGTCTGACCCCCACCAGTGAGTGCCAGCAGTGCTGCGTGGAGGTGAATCCCAACAGCCCCATCCCTGCATGTGCCCCCACGCAGCTCCTGTGGGGGTCCCTGTAGGCCCCTTCCTTTGGTTCCCCCTCTCGATGGCCCCATCCTGCGCTCCCACTGCAGCCCCTCACCCTGGGGTCCCGCTGGGGCCGATGCCCACCTGGGCCCCCCACCCCCTCACTCTCCTTCCCAGTTTTTTGTGTGGTTGGGTTTTTTTTGGACTCTGTTCCCCCCTTTGGGGACTGTGAAGTGTTTCTCCCCCCTCCCACAATAACGTCGGTGGCTGCTTTGCCCCCCCAGACCATCTGGCCCCACAGCAGCAGTGGGATGGGGTCCAGGCAGCACTGAACTCCCTGAAGGAGTGAAGGAAATGGGGATTCCTGCTCTATATGGGGGCAGTGCTGCTGACCCACAGTTGCTCCCTTACAGCCCCACTGCCCCAATCCCCCATGTTTGTAGGGCCGTCCCCCCCCTCCATCCCCCTCTGTTCTTTCAGCACTAATTATTTGTCACGGTGATTATTTCGCATTAAAAAACCAAAACCAACAGAAGCTCAAACCCACCCAACCATTCTTGTATCGCAGCGTTGTGTTCCCACGGCCGCACGGTGGGGAAATGCCCCCATTGCACCACAGACCTCACGAGGGACCCTCACTGCTGGGGCGAAAGAGGGCTTAGAGCAGGGGGGACTCCTTGGGAGGCGCTCAGCTCTGCTTTGGGGCACTGTGCCCTGCTTTGGGGTACCCAGCCCCCTTTTGGGGTATGCAGACCCACTTGGGGGGGGGGCACCGAGCTCTGTTTTGGGGCAGCATCGCCTCGTTTTGGGACCGGGCCGGGGGCAGCCGCGTGCTAGGAGCCCCCCGGGGCCACGGAAGGAACAGAGGCACCGAAGGGGTTAAACCACTAGAAGTTTAATCGCGTTATGACTACAAGAATAAAGGATACCTGAGAGCCTCTGCAGTGCCCGTAGCGTTACTGAAGCGGAATCACAACCCCACACACGGCGCTCGCCCCCCCCCAGCCCCACACGCTTACAGAAATCCATCCGAAGGCACTGAAGTGCTGGAAAACCCCACAGTGCGATTTGGGATCACGGAGCAATGATTGGGGATCGCGGCGCGACGATTCGGGATCACAGTGCAACGATGGGGGCTGACGGCGCGATGGTTGGGGGTCGCGGTGCTGTTTGGGGTCGTTTCCTTCTAAAGGTGGGGGGAACGTTTTCAATTCTGCTCCGCAGCCCCCGGCGCCTGGCGGCCACTGCCAGCACAGCGCCGGAGGAGCAGCTCAACGCTTCCCTTCTCTTTTCCCAAGCGTTTGTTAAGGATTCGTTTTGGAGGAGCTGAGGCCGCCCATCCCCAACCCCCACAAACAAAACAACAACAACAAACCCCCCCAAAAACAAACAAAAAAAAAACCCACCCCCTGAAAATAATAAAAACAAAACAAAAAAAACAAACCCAAATCACAACAGTAGTTCTTCTCGTCTTTCTTTTCTCGTCGCTTTTAGTGTTTATGGTACAACTGTACACTGTGAGCAGAGATCCACGCCGGGGCGATGGCTGCACCGACCCTGCGGCGCCGGGGGTTCTGTTCTGTCCCTCGAGGACCCCGGCCGCGGGTCTGGGGGTGCGGGGAGCCCCCAGCGCCCCACGAGCAGCTGGAGGGCCGAGCGGCGGCTGCAGCGTCTCTGCAGCGATGGGAGGGCGCTTCTCCCAGCCGTGGGAAGTGTTAAGGGAAGGAAAGAAAAGAGAGCGAACTCTGAAGAGGTGGATCTAGCGGTGATGATTTGCTCAGGTCTCCCCGTGCTGCGCGGCTCCGGAGCTCCCTGCAGAGCCGGCAAATGCGGGCAGCGCTGCTGGGGATGCGGGGCTGCAGTGCGGTGCTGGCGGCTGTCGCTCCCTGCCTCCCGGCGCTGCAGCCCTGAGTGCCGGCGTGGTGCTTCCGCACGGGGGGGGCGGTCCGGGCCTGCGCCCCCACCTCCTCCTGCACCGAACCGCAGCGCAGCTCCGCTGCTCGCAGCCCAGGGCGGCCGATGGTTCGGAGGCGGGACGGCGCAGAGCTCCCCTCGCAGTGCCTCCATTCGCCCCACGGCGCCGCACTGCCCCGGAGGTGGAGGAAGGGGTTCCGGGGCTCCGTCTGCCCCCACGCGGGTTCTGTAGAGCCAGAAGGCGCCGGGCAGCTCTCAGTTCTCAGGGCTGGCGTTCTGCCGCGCACGAATGAAGGCCATGCCGTGCGTGCGGAAATGCGTCTTGAGGTTCAGCTGGCTGTCGAAGCTGCGGCCGCAGACGGTGCAGGACAGCGCGCCGTCAGCCGCGTGTGGAGCTCCTTCCAGGGGGCTGCGGGGGCCCGGCTCCTCCGCCTCCCCCGCCCCCTTCTTCTTCTTGTGGGTGATGAAGCGATGGCGGTTGAGGGACACCTGGGAGGTGAAGCAGAGCCCGCACTCGCGGCACTGGTGGGAGCTCTCGTCAGTCCGGTGCTGCGGGATGTGCTCCTGGAAGTCGGCGGCGCTGCTGGCGAGGTACCCGCACTTGCGGCAGCGGAAGGGAGCCTTGCGGTCGCCTTTGGGGTTCTTGGAGGGGGGGGTGGTGCTGTCGGGCTCCTCGCTGCACGAGTCCCCATCGTCCGACGAGAGCTTCCGCTTGCGGCCGGGCACCTGCAGCCACGGGGGCGTTGGGGGGCAGCTCCAGCAGAGCCCCTGTGCTCCGACAGAGGCGGAATGGGGCGCGGGAGCGGAGCCCCTCCAGAACCCGCCCCCGGGATCCCACGCACCGCCCCTCATCTGGCCCTCCCCCCTCTCCACCCCCTCCCCACTCCCATCCCACAGCCTGGGGCTGTTCCCATACCCATATACCCATAGAGCTCGCAGCTCGCATACACAGCTCATGGACCCACAGAGCAGATCCCACAGCTGTGCAGAGGGCACTCAGGGCCCCTCCCACCCCGCAGGACGTGGGGGGCACAAACTGACACAGCCTGGGCTCACGGAGAGGCCCCACATCAGCCCCGATCCCTGGGAGCAGCCATACCTGCACGGCGCCGGCCCCGATGCGCGCGATGATCACCTCCTGGCTCTTGGTCTGGTCGGTCACCTTGATGCCGTGCCGCACCTGGATGTGCTTCTCCAGGATGAGGCGGCTGCTGAAGGTCCGTTTGCCCTCCGTGCAGAACCTGTGGGGCGCGGGGGGGAGGGGCAGCGCTCACCCACTGCCCCCATCGGACATAACCCTGATGCCCCCGATGCCCCCGGAGGGCGGCGCCCCCCCCCCCCCCCCCCTCCTTCCAGGACACGCAGGGGACCCCCATGCCCAACTCCCCCCCGCAGAGCAGAGCCCCCACAGGCGGTACCGGCACGGGTAGACGCGTTTGATCCCTTCGTGGTTGACGCGGACATGTCTGCGCAGGCTGGGAGCGGAGCAGAAGGAGCGCTCGCACAGGTGGCACGGGAACTTCTTCACCGACTGCGGGAGACACAGAGGTGGGGGTACTGCACAGCGCTCCCCTCCCCCCCCGTGGCCCCACGGCCCCTCACCTTCCCGTGGTCCTTCTTCATGTGGGACACGTATTCGTCGCGCTCGGGGAACCACGAGTGGCAGACGCCGCAGGTCCAGCCGCTGCCCTTGGATTTGCTGGTCGCTTTGCGCTGGAAGCGGCTGCGCTTGGCCTTGCGCAGCTCCGGGGAGCTGGGGGGGTCGTCCTCCTCCGTGGAGGACGAGGATTCGTCGGAGATTTTGGGGACGGGGGTTTCCATGGGCTCCTGCTTCGGGGTGAGCAGCACCGCCGCCTTCTTGACCGGCTCCTCCCGTGGCTTTGCGGGCTGATGGGTGTTCTGCAAAGCAGAGGTGTGATGGCGGTCGCCCCCCTGCACGTGGCCTTCGTGATGGGGGAACCCACAGCCACCGCGCGGCCCCAGGTTCCAGATAGCAGCAGCAGCATGGGAAAGGGTGTGGGAACGCTGGGAACACGGGGACTTTGGGAACATGGCACCCATGGGGCGGAGCTGCAGCACGGAGCCCCTTCCCCCCCTGGCCCATCCAGCAGTCTGTGCCCCGGCGGTACCTTGAGGTGCTCCAGCATGGTGCGCTTCTGCGCAAAGAGCAGCGGGCAGTCGGGGCACTTGAAGACGCTGACCCGCTGGTTGAGCAGATGTTGGTCAAAGTGGGAGGAGAGCAGCGGCTTGTGGGTGAACACCGTGTCACACATGGCACACTTATAGATCATCCTGTTGGGAGCAGGAAGAGTTCAGAGGGGCCGGAGGAGCGGCGTGGGCCCAGCAGGAGCCGCGTGCTGCCCTGCGGGGGGGACGCGCTGGAGGGGCGCTCACTTGGACTGCTGGTTGCCAAAGCCGGGGTGCTGCGTGTAGACGTGCGCGTGGGCGCTGGGCGCAGACTTGAAGGCCATAGGGCAGATGGGGCACTTATGGAACACCTCGCAGTGCGACGTCTGGATGTGTGATTTGATGGAGTTGACGCCGCCGAACACCACGGCACAGCTGGGGCACCTGGGGGGGCAGGGGGTGAGGAGGGGGCACTCAGCGCCAGCGTCCAAACTGGCTCTGGGAAGGGTCCACCTTGGAGCCACCCGTCCCCACGGTGGGGGCGCCGAGTGCTCCAGGAGCTGCACAGGCCGTGGGGTTCTTGTGCTGTGCCGAGGGATGGTCACATTGGGGGATGTGTGGGGAGGGAGGATCCCACGAGGATGGGGGGTGAGGGGCAGTGGGATGTGGAGTTCTGCCCAAAGCCCACAGCAAAACCCACCGCGGACCCCCGCCCACCTCAGTGCCCCTGCCCAGACCCCTCAGACCCCCACCCGTCCCGGTGCCCCACACCTGTATCCCACTCTGCGGGAGAAGTGCAGGCAGGACTCCTTCAGGTGGGTCTCGAAGTTGGCCAGCAGGAAATTCCCCCCACACTCGGGGCAGACGTGGGGCGGGCGGTTCTTGTGCATCCGCTGATGGGCGCTGAAGCTGCAGCGGTTGGACATGATCATGGGGCATGTGGTGCAGACCTGGGGGGGCAGAGGAGTCAACCAGACCCTAAAAGGAAGGAGAAGGGGGAAAGGAAGGGAAAAGGGAGGAGGACGAGGAAGGGCAGGGGATGCTGCCGGCAGGCAGTGCTGCTCTGGGAGGGCTCTGCCTCCTGGGCACAGTGAAGTCTGCTGATAGATTTTGCTCTGCCAGCAACTCCACAGTGAATGTGAGCTCACGTCCCAGTGCTCAGAGCTCTGGGAATTATCCTGCTGGCATCCCCAGGTCTGAGGGGACAGGGCGGCCCTCCCTGCTCCGTCCCCAGGCAGGAACAAGGAGCGTTCAACCCCCCAGTTGTCCCCTGCCCTCCTCGGTGGGGACAGAAAGGCTCCATGGGTTGCCCTAGGAAGTGTACAGTGTCACTCCAGCCATTGCCCCATGGAGCCCTAAGGGTGCCCTATGGAGCTCCGGGTGTTCACTCATGGGGCCCCAAGAGTTGCTCCAAGAACTGCCCCACAGAGCCCCAAAGGTGTCCCAAGAGTTGCTCCATGGAGTTCCAAGTGTTGCCTCACGGAGCCCTATGGGTTACCCCACGGAGCCCCAGGAGTTGCCCCAGGGGCTGCCCCACAGAGCCCCACGACGGCTCTCCAGGCACTTCCAACCCCTGCAGGAGGGCCGACGTACCGTGCTGCTGGTGGTGCCTGTGGCCACTGCCTGCTGGAAGTGCGCGGCCAGCCCGGCCTTGTCCTTGCACTGCTCCTTGCACTCCAGGCACCTGAAGCAGCTGTAGTTGCTCTGCTCCGAGCCGCTGCTGCTCAGGGGCAGGATGGGGAGCTCTGGGGCCCCGTTGGCTGCACTCAGAGCATCCTGAGTCACGCCGGCCACTTTGCCGGCAGGGAAGGAGGCCACGGAGACCAGTGGGGTGATGTCCGGCTGCCCGATCATCTGGTCCAAGGCGATGGGCCTCATGACCAGGTGGGAGCACTGCATCACCAGCCCCTTGTCCTTGTGCTCGCGGGCGTGCAGCAGCAGGCTGCACTTGTTGAAAAAGACGAGGCGTTTGGTGCAGTGGTTGCAGGTCACCTCAATGCGCATGCTGCGCCGGTCGTAGTGGCGAGCCAAACTCTTCTCCAGGGCGAAGGAGTCGCCGCACTCCAGGCAGCGGTACCCGAAGGGCGGCAGCGCCAAGCTGGCGTCGGCCGGGGGGCTCAGGTTGGGTTTGTAGGTGGGCAGCAGGTTCTTGCTGTTGAGGATCTTGTTGAAGGCCTCCACCAGGCTGGATTGGCTCCGGGAAATGACGGTGCCCGCGACGGTCGGGGACGGCTTCTGCGGCTGCACCATCACCACCGTGGTGCCGTTCAGCTTCTGGTTGGCCGTGGTGGTGATGGTGGTGGTCTGCGTGACAGGGCTGGCATTGGTCCTCGTGTCGGCCTTGGGCAGCGCCTGCGGCACCAGGTTGATGATGTTCTTGGTGACGGCTTTGCCCGCCTTGGCCGGCAGCACCACGGACTTCTGCTGCGCCACGCTGGCCGCGATCAGCATGGCGCTGCTGGCGCTCTGGATGGTGGAGACGGGCAGCACGGTGCCTTTGATCTTGGTGCCGTTGCCGAGTTGGACGCTGACGATCTTGGGCCCCTCAATGGCTTTCAAGGGGCTGGAGAGATCCATCTTGTCCCGGGACGCCTCCAGCGCGACGCCATCCTCCTTCTCCGCCTCCAGAGCAGCATCCTCAGAGCTCTGCTCAGCCGAGCCCCTGGCGGAGCTGGGCTCTGAGTCCGACGAGACGCGCGTCACCGTGCGGGTGATGCTCCCACAGGAGGTCTTGATGGTTTTGATCCGCACCTTCAGCGGCCGCGAGGAATTGGAAGAAGGGGAATCGTTGGTGTTGCCTTCCTCCTCCTCCCCCTCCTCGGCGCTGGACACGCTCTGCGGACTTCCCATCACCTTCTCCAGGGCTTCGCGCTCCTCCTTGAGGGCGATGTCGTCCAACTGCTTTGGAGAAGCGGGGATTCTGGGGCTCTGCACCACGGGAGAGGAGGGCTTGAAGAAGGGCTCCCGGGGGCTGCTGGGCGAGCGCTTCACCTCGGGCAGATTGCTGGCACCGCCGCCCAGGCTGGGCTCAGAGCCGGGCCAGGACGCGATGGGGGAATCTCCCGCGGAGTAGCGCACGGTGACGGACTTGAGGTGCTCCAGGGGATTCTCCTGCAGAGCAGCAGGCAGAACCTTCGGGTTGGCCTCGTGCGCCGCCTCCTCGGAGTCGGACTCCTCTTTCTTGATGCAGGACACGGCGGGAGGCGGCCCGCTCCCAGCCCCAGCCTGGCTGCCCTCGAAGGGCTGTGGGAAGGTGGGGGCGAGGCCCTCCACGCTCTGCCCCCCAGGCTCCTTGCAGTCCAGCGACGGGGTGGGAGACGGGGAGAGGGAGGGCACGGCCAAGGACTTCTCCTTCGGCTTGCACTCGCGAGCTCTGTCGATCAGGTTGGCAGCGTTGTCGTCATTGGGATCGGGGCTAAAATGCGAGAAGATATCCAGGGGTTTGGGCCCTTTCTCCTTCACCCAGCACTCTCCATTGGAGGACGCCACGGCTTCCACAGACCTGGCGGCTGGGGACCTGGGCAGCTCGGCCGCCCCGAAGCCGTTCTGCAGCAGGCGGGAGCCGAGGCCGTGCCCATCCTTACTGCGCCCGTCCAGCGCGTCCAGCTGCTCGGGGCACACCGTGTTCTTCACGATGACGCTCACAGCGGTGATGTCGGCGTGGGGCAGGACGTGGTCAGGCGGCCCCGGCTCACTGGGAACGGGTTTGATGTGAGCCTCAGCCTCCTCGTGGCCCGAGTGGATGGCCTCGTTGGTGTCAATGTCGGGGATGTCGAACGCTGCCAGGAGGTCGTCAAAATCCGGGGTTTTCATGTCACCCATGGTGGGGCCGACGGCGGAGTCTGGGAAAGAGGGAGGAGAGGAACGTCAGCAGCACAGCCGGCACTGGGCGAAGCGTCACCGCGCCGTCCTGAGCTCCCCGAGATGCGACAGAACCCCGCAGGGACGCAGACGGGGATCCACCTCCCCCATGCAAAACCCTGCTGCCTCTTCACTCTGAACCCCGGCCCGAAGCCCTGGGGCGGCTCTGGGTGCTCCTCTGCTTTCACTGCTCTGTCTGTGCACCATTGTTTGATCCCCAGCCAGGAGGGCCGACAGCTCCGAGCACCCTGAGCATCCCTGCACCCCGGAGAGACTGAGAGCTGGGGCTGCCCCAAGGCTGGAGCCACCCACCCTGACTCATCCTATGTGTGCTGTGCTGAGAGCACAGGCCCCACAGGACCCACCCTTACCCCATAGGTGACTGTTCTGGGAAACCCAGACCCCAAACCCCCCCTCACTGGGAGGAGCATCCCAAGCCCCCACACAGCATGGCTGCACTGTGACCCGCCTGGCCAGCATGTGCTTATTTCGGGAGCTCAAACCACAAGTGCCAAGCTTTTTTCAGCACAAAATAACTATTTTTCTTTGGCAAAACAAAGGCAGCGCCAGGGGGGAGGGAGGGGGGTGAGGAGAGAGGGGGTATTTTTATCCTCGAGAGCTGCTATCTGCCAGGGAGAGCGCTGCGAGCAGCCCAGCTATGGGGCAGAGCATTTTGGGGGGGTGGCTGTGCCCCAGCACCGGCACAGCTGCGGTGCAGCAGCTGCTTCCAGGGCCAGCTGCTTTTAAAGCTGCTTTTCCTGTTTCCCTCCCCAGTGCATCTCCCACCGTGAGCTGTCAGAGCACAACAGGTGCTGCCCCTGGAGCTGACATCACCTCCAACCCCCCCAGCACCACATCCTAATGATCACAGTGCCACCCTAACAAGCTGGCCCTTAGCGAGGCCGCAGTTCCCACCTGCACCTGCCCACCCCGGAGCGCCTCTCCCACCCGGTGCTGGATGGGTTCTGAGCGCCCACCTTCATTAGCTGCCCTCGCTAATTTCCAAGGCTATCGTTAGTTTTGCTCATCTAAAAGGCAGAAGGGATTCAGCTGAGCTGCAGAGGGGAGAACAGCTCGGAAGAGAAGCAGAGGTTAATGCTGAGTACGGCTCCCGCATGTTGGATGCCTTCAGTCTGTGGGCACAGCGGTGTGGGACTGCATCTCCCCACATCTCTCACACAGTGCTTCGTTCCTGTGTGTTATTCCCAGCACCGCAGCAGGGAGTCAAAGAACGACAGCATGGGGGGCTGGGGAGGGACCTTCAGGGCCACAGAATGACAGCACAGTTGGGCTGCAGGGGGTCTGGAACAACACAGAGCTGAGGGATGGTTGGGTTGTGGGGGACCCTACGGGTCACAGAACCACGGGATCCCAGCGCAGCTGTGTTGAAGGGCCATGCAGCCCCCAGCCCCAACCCCACCGTGATCTCAGTGTCCTTCCCCCCCCAGCACATCTCAGATCCACCCTGACCACCACGAGCAGCCGGCCCCGCAGCCCGGCTGCAGGGATTACGCTGCTGTCCGTTCACCAGAATTAAGCCCACACCATCTGCTGACTGCAGGAGAGATCCAAACAAAGCAGCGGCGGCGCAGATCCAGAACCCTCGACGACTTGGCCAGGCTGAGAGCCGGAGCTTCTGAGCGCCAGCAGGTGCTCTGCAGGCACCCAGGGCTCCCCAAAGGGCTCTGCAGCACCACAGCTGTGCCCACACCGGGTGGTTTGACCCACAGCTCAGGCACCTGCTGCCATAAACGAGCCCCCCCCACCCCAACGCAGTGCCAGACCCTCTGGAGAAGCTCTCTGAATGCAGTTCATTGCGGGGATGTAACTGCAGCCCCCAAAGGCCGCCCGCTCCCCAGCGTCGTGTGGAGCTGCCGGGAAATGAGGGCAGGAGGGACTCAGGGACAGAATAGAGGGGGAAAACGGAGCTCAAAACAAAACAGCACACTCCCTCGTGCCCAAACCTCGGCAACAAAGCCAGAAAGGCCATAGGGAAGCACTGCGGGGCCCCAGAAGGATTTGCAGAGACAGCGACTGCCCACAGAGCGGTCCCACATCCCCCACGGCCGCAGCGGGCACCGCCTGAGCCCAAAGCGACGGGCAGAGCTGCCCGACAGCCCCGGTGGGCTCCAGCGCTCCCAGTTTCCCCAGTGAGGTCGGAGCCCCCCCGTATTCCTGGCGGGCCGCAGCGCTGAGCATCGCCACCCCCAGCCCGGGATCAGCTTCGGGGTTTCCGAGGCCGTTCCTGGAAACGCGGAGGGAAACGCGCGGAGCCGCAACGCCTTCATGTGCCGCATCGCCTGGGGAAACGGGGGGAGCCCCAAAGACCCCCGAGCGCAGCGGGACCTCCGTCACCCCCACGGGGCTTTGGGGAACGCGGGAACGCGAAGCTGCCCCCCAGCGGGCTCGGGAAGGGGGGCGGGAGGCCGGGAAGGCCGCCGGGGATGGCTGGGAGTTCCCCGATGCGCGAGGGGAAGGGCGGCGAAACGAGTGGCGCCCGCGGCGAATCGCGGCCATTAACGGCCGCTCGGCCCGAAATTCCTCTGGGGGATGGAAGCCGGGGGGGGGGGGGGGGTTAGAAATCAGCCGCCGTTACGCCGCTGCGGGCGGGGCGGGCGCACCCGGAGCCCAAACGGCAGCGGAGCGCGGCGGCCGCCGCAACCCGCGCCCTCACCGCACCGGAGGCCCCGCGCGTGGCCGCTCCCTACGGGCCGAGCGCCCGGCGGCCATCGCGGCCCCCTTGGGTCCCAGGCTTCCCCCGGGCCCAGAGCTCCTCCCCCGGCCCGGCCCGGCCCAGCCCCCCACCAGCGGCCTCCGCCGCGGCCTCACCGAGCGCTGAGCGGGCGGCGGGCCCGGCTGCGGCCCAACCCTCCGGCGGCGACCGCTTCTCCGCAGCACTTCCTGCTTGGCCCGCGCCCCCCGCCCTGCGCCGCCGGACGCTGACGCCCGCCCCCCGCCGCGGCGCTATTGGACCGTCCGGACGTCGCTCGTAGCCGCGGGAGCGCTCATTGGTGCTTGGCGCTGTCGGTCGTGGGTGGTCGCGGCCGCTCGCACTCGCTATTGGAGGAGGGGGAAGTGAGTCGAGGCTGGATCCGCCCGCTGACGGGGTACCCATTGGGGGACGGGGCAGCCATTGAAAGTGTGATCACGCCCTTCCAGCTGCCTATTGGCGAATCTACGAGCAGTCTTGCTGCTGATTGGCTGAAAGCTGTGCTCATCGAGCCCCCCCGCCCCCTCCCTCATGCCATTGGCTAAGCCGGGATGCCCATCCACCACGGATCCGCACAGCTATTGGCCACAGACAGCGTCGCTCAGGGCACCGCCCAGCTGTTGCTTTCCCGTTGAAAGAGACGCTTGTCGCTCAATGCGAAGGCCCGGCCCGCCATCACCCCATCGGTTGGGAGACCTCAGTGGTCGACCACATCTTCTACCATTTGTTGACGGCGCCGTCACTCACGGAAAGCAGGGGCCTCGCCCCGCCCCCTCGCTCCCCTGTTGGCCAGTTCGACCGCACATCCACCCTGGAGGAACCAATGAGTTGCCCCGGCCCGCCCCCTCTTCCCATTGGCCACAGACAGGGAACGATTACAACATCCTCCCCCCCCCTTCCCCTACTGGCTGCCTTCGCCGCTCATCATCGGAGCCCCGCCCACGAACCGCGTCGTAAACATCCTGCGGAGCCGCGGGGCACGCCGGGACGTGGCGCAAGGGGCGTGGCCTCCGCGCCGGCCCCACCCCCCGACGAGCGCCACGGGGCGGGAAAAGGGACCGGGAACGGGGATGGGGTCCGGGACCGGCACCGTGCTTCAGCCTTTATTGCCGCGTCAGGCGCAGCCCCAGCCCGCCGCCCCTCACTTCTTGTCCTCCTCCTTCTTGTCCTTGCCCTCCTTGGAGGTCTGCGAGGCCAGCGAGCCCATGGCATTACGGATGGCCTCGTTGTTGGGGTCGACGCCAGGCAGGTTCTCCAGCACGCTCTGCAGGAACTCGGGGTCCTGCATCACATCGTAGTCATCCTCCTCCTGCGGGGAGACGGCAGGGAGCGGGGGGGGCTGCGTCCGTGCCGACCCCATCCCCCCAACGGCGAGGCCTCACCTTGGCGGGCTCAGAGGTGTCCATGGCTGTGCTGCTGTCCACCTCGGCCGCCTCCGCCTGCGCAAACTCTGCGGGAGAGCCCGGAGCGCACGGGATGCTGTGGGGCGGCCCCGGCAATGGCCCCACCTGGAAGCTGCCCCCCTGCCCCCATCTGCATCAGCTCACCCGCTCCCTGCAGTGACATCTGCATGGCGTAGGCGATCTGCTCCTCCTCCGTCATGCTGCTCAGGTCGGGCAGCCCGGCACGCCCAAACTCCTGCTGGGTGATGGTCATCTTCAGCAGAGCATCGTCCGAATCTGAGGGGACAGCAGCCACACTCACAGCCCAGCCAGGAGCCAGCAGTGCTGCCTGAGCATGGGCTGCTCACAACGCACCCCTCCAGCACCCAGAACCCCCGTCTGCCCACCCCGGACCCCCTGCTCCCCCACCCAGACAGGGAGTTTCAGTAGGAGCCAAGGGAAGCTCCAGCCTGGAGCTGCTCAGAGCGCTGCAGTGAGGCTGCACTGTGATTCTGTGAGATCCTGCACGGCTGGGTTTTGCCCAGAACAGAACCCAGCCTCTGCCACATCCAGCACCCACTTCCCGCAGCGTTACGGCGGGACACCCCTCAGCAGCCACGCTCCATCCCAACAGTCCCCAGCGGAGCAGCTCTGCTCCCCACGCAGCTCCTCACCGTCCCCTCCAGTGGCAGCAATCCCAGCCTCAGCTGCAGAGGCAGCCGCAGCCCTCCTGGCCTCCTCCTCCTGCCGCTGCCTCTGCTCCTCCATGGAGACACGCAGAGCCTGCAGAGATGGAGGCAGAGCAGCACTGAGCGGGGAGCACCCCAGAACAGAACAGCACAGCACGTGCTGCCGCCCCGCCCCACTCACCAGGGCCAGCTCTGGGTCGGCACTCGGATCCACGCCGAACTCGAAGTCGCTGGCACCGAGGCCCAGCATGGCCCCCCCCTCACCAGCCAGGATGGGGGAGCTGATGAGGGCATCGGCCAGGCTGGGCCCCGGCGGCACCGTCACCAGGTGGGAGCCCGTGCCATCCTTGCCATTCAGAGTGTTGATGAAGGCCGTCAGTTTGTCCGTGTTGGCTTCCTAGGGGCGAACAGAGGGGCTGGGGGCCCGGCTCCCCCCATGCTGCCCTCACAGCTGGCAGCCTCGCTAGCTGCACCGCTCCAGGCGATGCCATGCTTGCCCCTCAGGTTGCCATCATCCCTCTCCTCCCACCAAAATCCAGACACAGAGCAGAACTACCTGTGACACAAACCCCAGGGACACAAACCCCAGGCCAAGGGGTCAGAAATGCTGCCTGGGGGCACACAGCTCTGCTGTTTCCACGGGGAAAGATAACAAGGCTTGCAGCAAAACAAGAAGGGCCTCCCCAGAGGGAAACATTAACCTCACCATCACCACAGAAGGGCAGAGGCACAGAGCCCCACTCTTCCCTGAACCCCTTGGCTCAGACCTTAACTGGAAAAATGCAGCCCAAGTCTCACCTCTTCTCCAAAGTTGATAATGTCAACGTTGACCTTCTCCTTCTTCAGACGCTTTGCCAGCTTCACCAGCTGCAACAAAGAGACACGGCGGCTTTGGCTTCTCACTGCCCACATCTCAGCTTTCACAACCCCAGCCCTCCCTTTGGAAACCGGGGGACAGCCCTCAGGATCCAGAAGCAAAGCCCCAGATCAGCTGCCCAGCTGCAGCCCACGCTGTCCCTGCTGGGGCACAGCCTTCCTCCCAGAGCAGGGCAAGGACCAAGCCATCCATCTGGTTTAGGGGCACGTGGAGAGCAGAGACAACATTTTCTGCTTGGACTGGTGCTACTCACATCTTTCTCATTATCTTCTACAGGGCTCCCAACAAAGGCAATGATTCGCATCTTGTGATTCTTGCCCTGGCGATGCTTCAGAGCCAGCTGCAAAACAAAGTCACATCGTGCTTAAGGAGCAGCTCCAGGAGGGAGGACGGCTGGGAGGCAGCCGTGCACAGACACACAGGAGCAGAGACCCACTGGGCTGCGTGGCGATAGGCAGCTCCTCCTCCTTCTCCCCAAACCCAGACCTGGGGAGGGAGCTGCCCTTGTGGCCAGACTCCATGGTGGGCAGCTCCACCCCTCCTGTCCCAGTTTACTTCTCATTTCCGGACACCCAGAGTGTGAGCCGCCATGCAGTGCGGCTGCGCGTCCCCTGCAGCACAGCAAGCTTCCCAAGGCTGGGCTTTCACACTGGATTTTACAAAGGTTTCTGAGGCAAAGCCAAGGATTTGCTCAGCAGCAGAGTCAGGAGCAGATCTAACAGGACACGCTCAGCCATCAGATGTTACAAAGAAGGATGCAGGCTCGGTTTGGAGTAACAGACAACCTCTTACGTGAGCAACTCTGATCCCTGTGCAAAAGGTGATTTTTCCTTTGGGCTGCACTGTGTGTAGCTTTGAAAGGATCCGTCCCGTGTCCGGAGTGAGCGTGGTCAACACTTCACAGTTACTGCAAGAGAAACACACTGCACTGAAGGTGTTTGAGAACCTCTCTGTGAAACCCTCTGTTGCTACAGGATGAGGATTCTCCCCCTCCTTCCCACAGCTCCTGCAGGTCTGCAGCGCTCAGCTCTGTGGGGTCCGAGCACACAGGGCCAAGACGTGGAGCCCGGTTTCCTAAGCAAAGCGTGCAATCCACGCACACACAGCAGCGACCCCACTGCCCTGCCCCCAGCCTCCAGCCCCACTTTAACCAACCCCAGCCAGCCCCGTACTTGGCTAAGGTGATGAGCCCCACGTTGTTCTCAGGGTTGCTGCGGGTCTTGGAGTGGCACACGATGTTGACAGCATCCTGCTGAGCTTGCAGGCGAGTGGGTAAGAAGTCCCCATTTCTCATGTACTCACTGTTGTCAACGCTGAAAAAACAACATCCCTCAGGGCTGCAGCTCAGTGTCAGCCACAAACACGCTCAGGGGGCCCTCAGTCCCACTGCCAACGTCCCTTCCCACCCAACCATCCCACGGTTGATCTTCAAGGACCCTTCCAATACAACCCAATACAGCCATCACACGGCTAATATTTAAGGACCCTTCCCACACAACCACTCCATGAATCACCTTCAAGGACCCTTCTAACCCAACCATCCCACAGTTCACCTTCCAGGCCCCCTCCCTCCCCTCCCCACCCCAGTCCTGCAGACGATCGTTACGGTCACCGAACCACCGCTGCCACGGGGGGGCGCCCCCCTGCAGCCCCCCCCTCATAGGGCCCTTCTTAACCCCCCCCCGGGCCCGGCCGTGCCCCAACCCGCCATGACTCAGGGAAACCCTCGGCGGCGTCGCGCGGCCCACGAAGCGCAGCGGGACGCGGGGAAGGGAGAAAGAGAAGGGAGAAGGGAGAAGGACCGAGGCGGAGGCTGCCGCGCTTCCGGCCCGGCCCGGCCCGGCCCGCTCACCACACCATGGTGCTCTCCAGAACCATCTTTGCCCCTTTCCTTCAGAGCCGCCTTACGGCCCTCTCAACAAGGAGCCCGCTGATTGGCTGCGCGCCGCCGCCCAATGGGCGCCGCCCGTGCTGGAACGCGAGGCGCACGGAGCACGCTGGGAGTTGTAGTTCTGTCCCTGTCGGTCCGTCTTCCGCCTCCCCTCCCAAACGCGTCCTCGGCCCCAGAGCCCTGCGGGGACGGCGGGCGGGCGAGGAGCTGAAGGTGGGACTGAACCCGCAGCTGCAGCCGAGGCTCCGCGGGTGGAGAGCGGTGACGGCGCTGCCCTGCGGGGTCAGCGCTGGGAGCTGCACTCAGCATCTCCATCCGTGACACCAAGATGGTCTGCGATCGTAATGATCACCCATAGAACCACGGGGTGGCCGGGCTGGACGGGACATTGGAGGTTAAAGATGGGGGGGGCTGGACAGGTCCTTAGAGGCCAACCTCCAACCCATAAAACCACAGATAAGCAGAGGGGACCTCGTCTCTGTTCATAGCAGGGAATGGGACCAGAGGGTTCCAAGGGCCCCTTCCAACCCAACCCCTGCTCTGACCCCACAACGTGCTCAGGAGAACAAATTCCCTCCCCAGGGGGGCTCCAGACCCCACAAAGGGACACAGAGGCCCTTTGGGAGCCCCCCCCCAGCACAACCAATGGCAGACATGCAGCAGCCCCCCGCCCCCCTCCCCACAAAGCAGGCGTGGAGGCAGCCGGCTGCAGGAGCACACGCTGTATTCGGGGCCGCAGGTATCCACAGAACAGCCGCTGGCGGCAACACGGCACAGGTTACACGACAACGTCCACGACACGAGCAGCTCCATGGGGACACGGACGGGGCCTTCCCACTGCCGAGGGACCACGCTGGCCTGAACCCAACAGGAGGTGCTGGGATCCGTGACCTGAGAGCAGATCCAGCAGGAGGTGCCGGGATCCAGGGGCTGGGGCCAGCATTCTTAAGTCTGTGCCAGGATCCAGTGGGTCCAGATCCATCAGGAGGTGCTGGGATCCATCAACCCCCACCGGCATCCATCAGGTAGGACCAGATCCATCAGGACCCATCACATGGGGCCGGATGCATCATGCGGTGCCAGGATCCGTCACGTGGGGCTAAGATCCTTAAGTCCATGCCAGGAGCCATGGGGTGATGCCAGCATCCATCAACCCTTCCCAGGACCAAGCAGATGACCCTAGGATCCATTCGATGGCCCCAGAATCCACCATGTGGTGCCAGGATCCATCACCTAAGGTCATCGTCCTTAAGTCCATGCCAAGATCCACTGAGCGATGGCAGGATCCATCAACTCATTCCAGCACCCATTGGGCAGTCCCAGGATCCAGCAACCCACCAGCTGAGGTCAGGATCCTTAAGTCCATGCCAGGATCCATTCAATGGTCCCAGAATCCATCATCAGGGGCCAGGATCCAACAGGTGGTCCCAGGATCCATTGGACAACGCCAGGATCCATTGGATGCTCCCAGGATCCATCAATTGATTCCAGGATCCATTGGATGCTCCCAGGATCCATCAGGTGGTCCCACAGGCGGCCCCACAGCCCTCCCTGCTGTAGAAGGGCCCCGGGGGGGTTCAGGAGCCATTTAACAGCAGTTGTCGCCACTTCCAGATGCAAAAAAAAAAAAAAAAAAAAAAAAAAAGGCAGTTGTTCTGAAAACCCATTACAAAGCAAAGGTTGGAAGATCCCGTATAGAAACACCACCCCCCATCTCCCTACTGCTGCACAGCTATCCCCAGAAAACAAATAAAATGAAACAAAACCACTTAAATACAACTTCATAAATATTAAATCATAGGGAAAAAAAGAACGGGGAGTCGGTTTTCTTCCCTCCTGGTAAAAAAAAACAGAACGAGAAACACGAACCATTACAGGAGATGGGAGGGAAGGTAAGAACAGCGTCTAATATAGACAGTTATTTTGGCTGTAAGGTGAGGGCAGCAGCGGGGGAAGAGCCCACCTTCCTCCCAGCGCTGGTGGGGTCGGCGTGGGACGGCACCGGGGCACCGGGAGCCGCAGAACCCCGCTCTGGGTCTGGCCGCCCAGAGGATAAGGCCATTCCGTGGGGTCTTTTCAAACAAAACTAAGAAATAACATCCAAAAGGGGGCTGGGATATTGGGTTGGGTTTTGTTTTTTTTTTTCCATGGATGTTTTTGTTTTTTCCTTAAAAAAATATCAGTGCCCACTCGAGGTGGGAGGTGGCACCGCAAAGCGCCGCCCTCTGCACCACCGCTCCTGGGCTCCTCTGCACACAGCAACCCCGCAGGGGCACAATTACATCCCTTGGCTTTTTTTTTTTTTTTTTTTTTTCCTTTTTTTCTCCAATATATAAAAAAGAAAAACCAACGGAGGATTCCAACCCGTTGGGAACGCGGGCTGGAGTCGCTTCCTATCCTAAAAAATAAAACCCAAAAAGCGTTCCGTGCAAACGCAGCTCAGCCCAGTGGGGCTGCCAGGTTGGGTCCGTCTGCGAAGAAATGGTGACAGATTCCCACAGCTGGGCTCAGGGCAAAGATCTGCATCCGCAAAGGGGCACCGAGGGGACACAGCCCTCCTGCACAGCACTCAGGGCCCCGTCTGTGGTCACACAGAGCAGAGCTGAGGGGAAGGGCTGGAGCTGAACTGCAGGAAACGCCGACGTTAAAAACTCGTTGGAAATACAAAAGGTGAACGCGTCGCTCCGAGGCAAACTGCCGGCGGGGCCAAAAAACTCCCATGGGCGGCAGTTTGTGGTGGCAGCATTGCGAGCCTTGGAGGTCAGAGCCTTTTTCCAAAGGCCTTCAGTCCAGTGGAGCAGTTCCTCCTCTTCCTTCTCCTCCCCTCAGGGCGGCTCAGGCCCTGGGCTCAGGCAGCAGCGCAGTGCCTGGAGGTCTCCGCTGATCCGCTCTGCTGGGCTGCCCGCACTGCACAGCCCGCCTGGCTCTCAGCTTCCTGTCCAGGTAACATTTCCAAAAAAAAAAAAAAACCCACAAAAAAAAAAAAAGAAACACAAAAAAACCCAAGAACCAAAAAACAAACTAAAAACCACGAAGGTCAGCAACGGAGCAACGGGGGCTGAGCGCACAGAGCCCACGCAGAGCACGGAACCTCCTGCTGCCAGCGTCGGCTCAGAGCTGCCTCACTGCAATGAGAAGAGGGGGAAATGTTGGTGGGGGGGGAGAAGTGTGGGGGGAGAAATGTGGGGGAGAAGTGTGGGGGGAGCCCAGCAGCCGCGCCTGGAGCTGCTCTGCCTGGATGGACGCACAGCGGAGGGGCGGCGCTCCCCAACCACCACCTCCCCATGGACTGGGGGCTCTGCCAGCATTTATCGTCCTCACAGAGGATGAGGCCAGCTCTCATCCCTGTCCCCTGACCACCCTGGGTGCCCAGGAGTGCAGCAGCTCTGCTTTACCTCCTGCTTCACCCAACAAAAGGTTGTGGGGCGGTGGACACCACCAGGCTGCGTGTGGCATGGGGCAGACGGGGCCACCATGCACACAGGTGGGTGAGGGTCTGCCCCCAACGTCCCCTCCCACCCTGAACCACTCAGCCCCTCCTCAGAGGTTACTCACGAAGCTGATCTCCGTCTCCTGCAGCTCTTCCAGCTGCTCCCTCAGCTCCGAGGAGGGCTCAGGGACGGACGGTCCTGGGGAGCTGCTGGGGAGACAGAGGGGGAAGAGCTGTAAAGCAGCATTGAAGTGGGAGCGGCCATGAAATCGCCTCTCCTTGCTGCGCCCAGCACAGCAGAGCAGCCCACAGAAGGGGTCAGAACAGAGCTGCCTGGAGCAACACCTGCACGCCCAACCTGGTGAGGTGAGCCCCTATGGAGCCCACGAGCACCGCACTGCCATGATGGGGGTCTGGGGGGAAAGCAGCACAGGGACACAGCAACACAGCGCCGACGTCAGCGCCAGGCACTGCAATGGAGGCACTGCAATGGAGGCACTGCAATGGAGGCA